CAGCCACTTCAGCAGGTTTCAAGCCTGGTTATGCTACACTAAAGAAGCCAATGCTGCGGACCACAGACATTGTTCAGCGTCCCCGGCTTGGGCAGAAGAACCACCCTACGCATTAAACCAAGTCAAAGCTCAGTGAGGAGATGGGCTCTGCGCTCCCTGCGGGGCATCCATGGCACACACACTGGAAAGACCCTACACCTAAGTTCCTGGTGGCTCCTGTTTGCTGGGCAGCCAGTCACAAGTCAGGATTTCTCTTATGAGCAAAATAAGCCTCAGGCTACTCAGTGTGCTAATACTAACCAGCACCCCTCCACCCAGCCATCCCCATCCCATCTTCATAACTGTAATACTCCCATATTCTTTATTACTCTTTTAAATTGCCCTTTTAATCTCAATATTTATTTTCCAAAACAGCAAAGTGCTATTGATTTGGAAACACTAATACAAAGCAACTTTTAATATCAGAAATGCATATTGTATGTAGTGTTATAAGGTCTCATACACAGCAACACACGGATAAAATTGGAAAATGGATCGTGCTCTCACCATGATTCAATATTAAGTGTCACACACCAACAATGACCCTACTAGTGCCAGTGGTCCAGGCCTTATACTTCAGGGAAAACTAAACTAAAAGGGGAATGACATGGTTCAAGGATTTAACTCAAATTACACTATCAACTATAAAACTCAATCTACTAACACTGGGGCTGAAAACATGATGCATTAGGAAAGTCTGCAGTGGATCCTTGGGTAGCAGTTCATGTTATGGGTCAATATCTTTCCTTATATGAGAGGCCATTTCCCTAGGACAGCTACGAAAAGGTGGACACGAGAAACAGACATAGACTTCCAGCATCGAGCTAAAGGCACTGCACTGCAGAAAATGTGTCATACTTGAACTGGACGTCTGTCCAGTTTTATATATGATTTTTTTAATATTCATTTTATTTATTGTGTATACAATATTCTGTCTGTGTGTATGCCTGAAGGCCAAAAGAGGGCACCTCATTACAGATGGTTGTGAGCCACCATGTGGTTGTTGGGAATTGAACTCAGGACCTTTGGAAGAGCAGGCAAAGCTCTTAACCGCTGAGCCATCTCTCCAGCCCTTTATATATGATTTTAACACCGCATCCAGATATCAATCCCATGTACTCTGTTCCAGTCATCCCTTAATCTACATTCAAGGAAGACATGGAGTATCTTTTTCTCTCAATATACTTTGGTCCCTGCATGTTTAACATGAAACTTGGTGCTCACTTGTATCACACAAGAAGTAGGGCCTCATTCCACCCTTTCACAGAACACAGCCCAGCAGAGCTAAGAGCCAATCCAAAGCTGATCTGACACTGATGACAAACACAGGACTCTGGCCCAAGGTCCCTAGCAAGTAATTGTGGAGCAGCCTCAATTCCATACCCCCACCCAAACAAACAAGCAAGCCCTCACCCCTAGAATACCCACAAGCACTGCCCTTGTCTCGTGAGCTCACTCTTCACTACAAGCCCATATCTCCCTTGACTCTGTGCCTGAAATATCAGAAAACAAAGGCACAAAAGGTTTGGAGGTCCAGACAGTTCTCCTTGGCCCAGGAAACAGTCCTTTGAAAATCTTATTTATTGACTTCCTTGGAGAGAAACACAAAACTCTCTTTATCTCTCATGTAAGCAAGGAAAGAGAATCCAAATAAACGTGAGCTTAAGTTAGCTCTAGCATACTGTCCTGAGCCAGGAACATCCTGGATATTCCCACGTTACACACAGAGATGCAGGGCTGTCTGTGGCAGAGAGAAGTTAGGTTCATAATCACATGGAACTTCTGAAGGATGTCTGTAGCAAGTCTGAGTGGTAACTTCGAAAATCTGCTAGTGTCTCATGGACTTGCAGGATTCGCAACCCCTGGGAACCAAGGCCCAACCTCAAGGTCAACTCCAGACGCACCACTTCAGAACGTTCAATTTAATAAACCTTTCAGGTAACCACTGCATGTTCAGGTTCAACACGGAGTAATCCAGTGGCTGCATCAACACCTTGCCTTCTTCCTCCATGGTCAAAGCACTGATTTTTAGAAACACAGGAACTGAAGAAGCCATTGAAAGCCTGATCAAGAAGCAGCCAGCCCTGGTTTGGGCTCTTGTACAAGCCAAAGGCTGGGCAGGGAACTCACACAATCAGCTTCTGTCTGCAGCAGGCAGCTCCAATTAGTGCAACAGAGAAGCAGAGACTAGACAGGCCTCAGACAACGGCCCCAGACCTCACAATGCTTCAAGTGTACAGAGTAGGCTCTCACACTGCCTCTCGGGCTGGAGGTTTTGTGACTTTTATTTATATACTCAGTTGCCATGGAAATTTATATTGATGTGGTTCTATCTGCCAAAAATTAATAGTAAATAGAAGGAAAAGGAAGCACACTGAGATCTGCCCATCTGGAAGTGGCCTGAGACCCTGTTCCTGCTGGTTACAAAAGCAAGGACCTTGTTTTGATATGTCATTCTGGCAGGCTTGTATAACCTTAAATCCCTGAACGCACCCATGCTCCATACTGTATTCTCCATGCTTGTATGATGGTTCGTACCCCCATCCCATGTGCCTGTCTCCCCTCACTCCCCCCAATATACCACATTCTCTAGCAGGTTACTTATGAAGGCAGGGCTCTTCCAGGACAGTTTAAGGCCCTCGGCGCTTCTCAAACAGTCTCAGAAAACATGAAAAAACTGCTGGGTCCTTCACAAGGTCCCAAAACTGGCAGAGGGCAAGGCTGGCAATGAGAAATTACAAAAGTTCAAGTGAGCATCCTCAGGACAGAAAACATTACACCCTGACACGGACTTTAGGCATGCTTAGCTTTGTTTGTCAACATGCTGAAGGTTAAAAATGAACGCATGGAAGAAGCATGAACCTCTCTGCTGTCCTGAGAACTGGCGAGCCAGGAAGCAACAGTCACTACCAAACCCCAGGGATCCCCATCACAGAAAACACAAAACTAACCACTGTTCCTCTTTCATCAAGTACTTCTAGGCCCCTATTTAATTTCTCCTTCCTAATTCCAATTTCAAAATTGCTTTTTATTTCCTTGGACTTTGTGATTGAGGTTTCATTTCACACGGTCTCTGCTTCTCTGCAGAATTAGTAGACAGCTTTATAACCTTTTTGCTTTTTTTAAATAACTCAAGTTACTGCTATGACATGTCATTTCCATCATGTATGTCACAGTACGGTCTTATAGGCACCTTCCTAGAAGCACTTCCAGCCAGGCCAGGTCCAATCCTAACTCCAATGTGTTTTGTGTGTGTGTGTGTGTGTGTGTGTGTGTGTGTGTGTGTGTGTGTGAGAGAGAGAGAGAGAGAGAGAGAGAGAGAGAGAGAGAGAGAGAGAGAGAACCTTTGCCCTGCCTCTCCCAGGGCAGCCATTTTGTAGCTTCTGTCTGATGGCTGAAACACTCCTCCCTGAGCTAGGAGTCATGGATAAATGGGTACTACATCAGGAACAGAGGCAGGGAGAGATACACAGGCACAAGCCGTAAGGGGTGGATGGGGGGATGGGGGGAGGGGGGTCCTGAGGGACGGGAGCACAAGCTAGTCCGGGGGAGAGGACTAAAGAAGCAGCGAGACAGAGGCTAAGAACCCCAATCTACTGTAGCTATTGGAATGTCAGTTCTGCTCCCAGCCTTCTGTGAAATCCACTTTACCTGAGCCACCTTTTGTTCTGTAATGCACACGCCGGGAGTCTAAAAAACCCACCCACCCAGTGCCTTCAAAGTAAGAACTGACTTTCATGAATAATAAAAGACACTGCTTCAATGAAGCCTGGCTCCTCCAAAAGACAACTCTCAACAATGGGATCAAGCGGGTGCGAGCAAAGGAGGGAGGGATCATTTGCTTCACCACGGTGACAAAGATCCACTTACAGATATGGAGCCCAGGCCTGTGGTGTCTGTGGGAGACAGGAGACTGAACAATTTACATTTTTCAAAAAAAATAAAATGAAAGAGGTGTGTAATGCAAGAGAAATGGAGCAATTATCCTCTATATAAATAATTCCGACTACGTTGGGGCCTAGCCTGGGGAAACTATAAAGGTCCTTGGATCCTGTCTCCAGGAGCTGCCACTCCACCACTCTGCAATAAAAGCTATAGTGGTGCTGGGCGGCTCCAACAGGACTCTATTTGTGTCTGCATCTCCCTCATTCAGTGTTTAATAAAGGGAAAAGATAGAATAGTAAGGGCAGAAATTCAAGATAAACTCACAAATAAGTCACCTAAAAGCAAGAGGACAGAAGCATCAGAAGCCTAATTAAGATGACAGAAGGCAGCTCACTGTGGTCAGCAGGCTGGCGGGGAGTGCACTCAGCTGTATGTAGTCAGGAGAATTAACCTTTCCCTGGGGCATGGCTCCTCTACACCAGTGTCCAAACAAGCATTCACCACCAGCTCTCCACGTCAGGCTCAGGAACATGGGTGAGTGCTGGTCATGGTCACTCCAGCCCTAGAACTTGGGAGGCAGAGGCAAGAGGACTGCCACATTGTCAAGGCCTGCAGGGCCACACGGTGAGTACCAGCCCAGATGGAGTTACAAAGCGAGACCTTGTCTCACAAAACCCAACCAAACCCAACCAAACTGAGCAAGTCAAGTCACGGCGGTCTCCAGCCCAGAGAGGTGAAGACTAAAGCCACTTTTTAAAAGCTACAAAAATAGTGTCGGCAAATATTTGAAGTTAACCAAACTATTTAAAGCCAAGCATAGTGAGACAGGCCTGGGATCCTAGTACCTGGAGGAGGTGAAGTTGGAGGTTTGCAAATTCAAGAGCAGCCTGAACTACAAAGTGAGATGTCTCAAAAACATAAACTTTAAATCTCATTATTTTCCACACGAAAAATGCACATAGCTCTTTCATAACCAGAAAAAGCATCTCCAATAACCTTTATACACTCACTTTTATCAATCATGTCCCCAGCATCAAAAAAGACAAGAGGACATTCCAAGTGGGATGTCTTCTTACCATTTCGAGACACATCGAGTTCCACCAGCTGCATGAAGTTTGCTATTTCTGGAGGAAGCCGCTGAATTTCATTATCACTGAGTCCAAGCTTCCGTAATTTGACTAGCTGGAAAAATTGCTGAAAGAGAAAATGGTGTAACATAAGTTTCATATACATTTGCATGGCTCTTTGAGCTAACAGAACATTTCAGTTTGTCTTTTAGAACTAATGAAGACTGTACCAATGTTAACGTCTTAATTTGAGCAGTAAACTGATCCTATGAAGACACCATTGGCATACTGTGTACAAGGTACCTCTCGAGACATCTCATTCTTGCAAATTTCTGTCCATCTACAAGTATTTAAAAATAAAAATGTTTAAAAAATGAATGAGCAACTTCATGAGAATAGATTGTCACATCTTATATTTATCAAAATATTAAAATTACATTATATAGACATGTATAAACCTAAAAATACTATTTTTAGAAGAATTTTAATTAAAACTATGTTTATATAAAACATAACAAAATAATTCCATTGGTCATAGATGTAATATCTCACATTGTGTGCAGCAAGTAGGAAAATATTTAGACTAGGAATCAAAAGTCCATACTGGTTCCCCACAGCTGCAACAGAATGAATATGTAAATCTTTCTTCTATACCCTTTAACAACATACTAAAATATATACAGAGATCAACACAAATATAAAAATATACAATAAGCCTATGAAGATTCAGAACATACAAAGCAAGAGGTAAACTAGACAGTTATACAACAGAATTCTTAAAGCCAAAAAGCAGGACAAATAATCATAAAGTAAGAGGGGAGAGGGAGGGAGGGAAGGAGGAGGGGGGGGAAAAGGGAAAACAAGAGCTGTGCTGTAAGTAGCCATAAAGAAATTAGGTCAAGTGCCTCTAATGTAAAAAAAAAAAAAAAAAACAAAAAAAACTGATTGAAAATTCATTTTTAAGAAACAGATAAATCCTGGTCTTCTCTTTCCTGCTCTTCACACCAGGCAATAGGTTAACTGACAACATGGGGGCAACCAGGACTCCAGGCATGGGCACAGACCAAGTGACACCAATCATCCTAGAGAACAGCTGGCATGACGCCCCCACCCCAACACACACAGTGTCTGCACAGGCTCAGCTCACCCACACTGCCAGGACCTGGACCTCTAATTTAAACGGAGTCTAGATTCTCTAGATACCTAAGAAAAAAAGCCTACAATATGCAAGAATCCAGGTGGGTATACACACACACACACACACACACACACACGCTTGCATAAACACACCACAAAGAAACAATACAGGGAACCAAAGAAAACTTCATCAGTTAAAAAGTATAGGATTCGGTTGGGGGGGGGGGAGCTAAAGCTTTATGTTATCAAATCAAGAAAATTTGAATTTAAAAAACACTTGGAAATGTAAAAATAATGTAGCCTCCACAAAGATTCTAAGAGAGGTAAATAAAATTAACAAATTTTCTCAGAAGAAGCTTGGAATAACTCAGAGATGGGAAAACAAAACAAAACCAGAGAGAGAGAGACAGAGACAGAGACAGAGACAGGAACTAAACAACTCCACAAGTAATTAATAATCCATGCCAAAAAAAAAAAACACAGAAAACTACAGAACATGGCTTTCCGGTTCCCAAGGGCACAGCATCAGGACAACAAAAACACGTTACAGTTAAGATAGAAACTGTATCCCACAGCCTCATGTTTGAAACACTCATTTCCCAGCTGGCGGTGCTAGAGGCAAGGACTTAAGAAAGCTACAGTCAGTGGCAGTTGCAGCCTTGCAAAGGTGTATCCCCATCACTCGGTGGTTACAGCCCAGAACTGGGCTTCACCTCCTTGGGTTCACACTGCCATAAATGCATCTCTCTACCCCGCTATGATGGACTAAAGCCATAAGCCAAAATCAATCTCTCCTCCCTTGTTTCTGTCAGATATTCTGATCATAACAATGCAAAAATAACTAAGCATGAAAATAAAAACCATAAGTAAGGAATACTGAACTAACTGAACGAATGGTTCTATAGTAAATACGAAACTAGTTGGAATTTTTAAATTTCCAAAGAGGAGTGAAATACAGGGGCAACAACAAGGAGTGTGAATTCAGAATGGCACTGGACCTGACACATACCTGAATGAAGAGTCAATGGCATGCTGCCTTAAAAAGACAAGAAATCATCTCCTACCCAAATATGAAAAATTTGCTTTTCCCACACTTTCCCCAGAAAACTACCAAAATGTGGATGTAAATTTAAAAGAACAATATAGCACTCAGGATAGCAAATCAACAAATTTCAGAAAAACAAACAAATTCCCAGGGAGAGTCCCATATGCCCCTGAACCACAATCCCTGAGAATAATCAAACTACACAGAAACCAAATATATAGGCTCCCAGATGGAGTTTTGAAAAAACAAACAAACAAACAAACCCTCATCTCAGGGATTGGCTGATGCGGCACAAAGAAGAAATGTGCAACTCTCCACGTGGAGACGATCACGCAAGCAAACGGGGATGGAGTGAAGAAGAGAAAATCATAGTATAAATGAATACTATACCATCTACATGGATAAAATCAGTACGGCAATATTAGAAAGGCAAGAAACTAAAAGTATTAAGTCCTCAACTTCCACTAGTAGACCTACTAGTGGAACTACGAAGACCTACATAGAGAACTACGAAGTGGAACATAGTCCAGCTGAAAAACACGCTACTGGCGACATGGAAGCATATTACCTATAGAAACAGCGGAGCTGGGGTTCTCACAACCCCTGTTCCCAGCCGATCCGAATGGTGCAATGACAGAGAGCATCTGTACTAGGGTGACAGGACGCTCCAAACATTGATTATAGGATGCTGATATTTAGTTGTCTTCTCCTTTTGTTTAAAAAAATGGTATTTATATAATGATCCTAAGATGCAGTGCCTTTTGAAAAGCAAGTAGGCAACACACAAAAGACAAAACTTTTCAAGTCTACTGATATACTCTGGGCACCACTCCTCAGACTATAACTGAAAAGAGCCAAAACAAGCATAGTGCACAAATACATTATGATGTTAAAATAAAAACTAGAAAGCATGTTATGAATAAGTAAACAGGCTAGCCAGATGTTACATAATTCAGTATTATGCAAATATTAAAAATGATTATTAAAAACACAATTGAACTTAAAAAGGGTTACCATGCAAACAAAATTCTTTAAAAAAAAAAAAATCCCCACCAAGTTCTCTGTAAAAAGCCATACTGACACAGGCAAGAGAGAGGACAGTGAGAACATCAGGAGATGGAGAGAGATCACAGGTCAGGTGACACAAGTATTGCCTGAATTGTTTTTAAGATTAAAAAAAAGATAATGTAAATGCACTATGAAGCTAGACAAGCGATTCTACTAATTGGACGTATTTGATAATGAACAAGTTGCTCAATGGGCGCTAATCCTTGAGATTTCTTTAACAATCAGTTGAGATTTATTTTAAGGGATGGCAAATCTCTTTTTACTAGTTGTACCAAAGCATCAGCAAGCACAAAAGCCATTGAAAAGAGTCACATATTTGAATAACTGAGCCGATGCCAATTGTTCAAAGAGTCTGACAGTTTCATAATACATCAATGTGTTTACTCAAGCATGAAAAGCCTACTTTGTTTTCCAAGAAAGGCGTAATAGCAGAAGTATAAAAGCCATCGCCAATTCCATGCATCCAGGGCCCGCCCAAATGTAACATACAAGAAATCAAGTAAATTGGGTACTCAGGTCTGAAGTAAACAGCAAAAATGATAGCCTACAGATCTCTACGTCTAATAGAGGCCATAGGTTGACCATATCCTCATCTACGGCCTGTCCCAAATACTGCTTTAGTTAACACAGGAAGGTGCACAACTAGCTAGAAAAATACAGTGTGCTATGATCTCAACATAATCCCAGTAACTCCTCAGTCCTTTCCCACATTAGCCTGGCGGATCTAAGCAGGTGTTCAAATGTTCTAAATCACCTACTTTTCTTACACAATTGAAAAGATGTCACTCAAACCATATTACATCATAAATTTTCAGCTTCCTTACATAGCCAGAGAAAAGAATTCATAAGCCTTGTTTTTGAGATCAGCCAGGGCACACGGAGAACAATTTGTGTAGCTCTTCTGGCAGGGTGCCTGAGCACTGAGCAGTCATGTGACAGAACACACAGCGACACTATTCTTCAAATCTACATGTTTGATTAGAGCTCACTGACCCACTTAGAGCACATTCTGTGCAATTATACTCAGAGAAACCCCAACTGCCCGGGCTGTCGCGTGGCACCAGGCTTCTTACAGCCACTATTGTTCTTAGCAGACACGAAGCCTTTCCTTCAACAAAACAGAATGCTGCCCCGTTCTCCATCCGACAAGGTCTTTGCCCTTTTGGTATTACTAATCCTTCTCCCCTGCATTTGAGAAAGGGCAAGGAAGTCTCACTTCCAAAGGGGCTGCATCCTTTCATGTTACTATATGGCCAGCCATCTATCAGTTGTACCCAAGTTGTTAAAATTCCTCCATAAAGTAGAGAAGAACTACGATTATGGATTCCCATATGGAACAACAGTGTCGAGAATGCCACGAACCTTGGGGGGCGGGGGGAACGTGGCTGGGCTACAATGACAACCATTTCTATTCTGGAGGCATTCTAACCTTGACTGCAATCTTTCATCTTTTTGTATTTTATATAACGTAAATCAAATCCCTACCCCTGTCCTCATCAATGTGACCTACCTTTTGATCAACTACCTATACTGCAAACCAAAAGCATTTCCTACAAAATCAGAAACAAGACAAAGGTGTCCTCTATCACCACTCTTATTCAACACAGTGTTGGAAGACTAGGATCAAAGACAGAAGAAACAAAAGGGATGGGTCAGGGTGAAAGCATCGCTACTTGTAGATAACATGGAAAAACCCTAAATACCTCCACCAGAAAACTCTTGGACACCTTCAGGAAAGTGCCAGGATTCAAAATCAACACGTGAAACTCAGTCACCTTTCTATATACTGAAAATGAATTTGAAGAAGAAGAAATTGAAAGGAAAAAAATCTTATTCACAACAGCTTTGAAAGAAAACAAAACTAAGTCTATCAAAGA